ACTGTTTCTGCCCCTTCAGCCCAAACAAAGTGCTGAAACATCTGGCAGAAGGGAAGTAATCAATGATCATTTCTGGAATAGAAATGACCAACTAGGTTATCAGATAACTGTCCTCCTTTACGTAGTCTTAAGGCATGGGCATGTTGCATATGCACAACTCTTGCTATAGCTTTGAGGGCAGTGAAAAACCTGGATGAGAGGAAATTCAGCACTTACTGATGCTGGTGTATGGATTCTGCCTGCTTTCTCTGAGTGGAAATAGTGCGGTAACTGGAAAGATTCCTTTTTTCTGCCTTTTTAGGTCTTAAACATAAATGTACAAGATAATATTTTGAGTAGATGCTACTGCAGGACATGCACTCTGGCTCTATCCACCTTCTATAAGGAAGGTACCTTTGTCTGCTTCTGGCTTTGAAAATATACATACATATATATATATTTGCTTTTCTATTGGTTCTAGTTTTAGTTTCTATTATTAAATAGATTTTTCTATTATTTGTATTATATTTCTATTATTTTCTAAAAATTTCTGTGCTTTGTTCCTGACTTTGTGGATAACTTTCCAATACTGAACACAGAAAGTAAAGTAACTGGTATTACCTGAGTGGTAATGTGCATCCTCTCTGAGCAGAGGATCCAAAATCTGTTACTATTGCTAAGCATATGGATAAGGGTCACCAATGGTTCCTCCGTTCTTTCAATAACCCATATCACCCAAACATAACGTTGTATCAATAACTAAACTCCCTTTTGCATTTGCCTGAGCCAGCTGCATCCCACAGCAGCCCAATCACCTCTCTCTGCTGTGCCAATGTGTGTTTGTATCTGCTGTGATTACATCAGCATTTGGTACTAGGGTGACATCTGGGTTATGCTTGAATGCACTGCGTTCCTGCTCCTTCTCCCCTGGGGCTTTTAGCTTGACAGTGCAACTATTCATTCAGCTGCTTGAGAGAGCAGCAGTCCCATACCTCCAAGTGGCCCTGTGGCACCATGAGGTTCATGCCCCCTGGGAACTCGCATCTTGCCCCACTGATTGTTTTGCAGAACAGTAGCTCATACTACCAACGCGTATGAGAGGGTGTTTTTGCTATTAAACAACTTTCATAGTTGTTTTGCTATTTCTTAGTATTGACTTGCTTTATGTTTCTTTTTAGGGGAATGAACTTGTTCCAATATGTCTGCAAAAGACAGTGTAAGGTCAATGAAAAGAAGCCTTCACTTTCCGATAGTCAGTTTCTATATATAAATTGGCACTTGATGCTCATCAAAGAACAAGAAATATTGGATATGCTCTAAATGTCCATTGTACTTTTGAGCCAACTACCTGATGGAAGTCATCACTTATATGTAAATGAACTGTCAATGACTTGCCTCCGTTGGCAACCGCTGGACTGTGAAGGGTATGTCTTAATAGGAACCAAAGCTCTTCGCAGACTTTGATTTACTGGAAATAAAATAGAAAAGTCCTCTGAGACTGCAAAGGACACTTGTTTCAGATAAAATGTCTAGACAGTAGCAATATATTTGGGGCTTTTATTATACCAAACCTGCAAATTAGAATAGAGTGCTGAGAAAGTTCCTATGACCCAGCTGAGTTCAAAAACACTGCTTCAGACTGATCCTTGAAACACACTCAAATTAAGTTCATGAGGCTTCAAAAAGGGAAAGAAAGGATGTGCAAGGTCAATGTTCAGGTCTGCTAGAACTCCAGAACTGACCAAATTTTACATTCTTTCTGACAAGGAGGGATTTGCAATGGAACTGTGATTAGAATCATTTAAAGAAAACAAAGATCATGTATTGTGTTTTGCAGCACTAGGTAACATTCTGCTTTACAGTACAGCTCTGGGTGATGGCTTCCTTTCTTTGATTACTGAAAATAAAATAAAAGTAGAAAGATTAATTCTGTGAATTGATACATTATAGGAAAGAAACAATCAGAATGAATCTGACAGCATATTTTGGTAAAGATGACTGTTTTTAAGGATGGCAAGTTATAGAGTATTTCTGATAAAGATGTGTGAATTTCAGAAGATCGAGTTTTTTTGAAAATTAGTTTTGATTTTTATTATTGTCATAATTGGCAACATTTTACCATGCAGAATTTTTGGAAGATTATGGCTTACAAAACTGAAAAACTGATGGGGAGAAATGAATGACTTCTGTCACGATCTGTGTAACGTGGGTTGGTGCTCTTGTTCAAGAGAATTTACGTATACACCAAATGCAAATATAGGATGTGAGAGCTTAGGTATTTAAATTACGACTCTGGTCTGCTATTGGAGTACTCTCAGTTCAATGCAATGAAGCATCAATTTTCAACTTTGAGCAGCTCTGAATCACCTTCAGTATGATTTATTCCAGCTTTCCAGGAATCATCCAGTACTCCTTGAGAACACTTCATTTTTCAGCTATGCAGAGATAGCATGAAGGCACATGTGTTACACAATTTGTCCCCAGATCCATCCTTTCTATTTGAATCTCTGGCTTTGTTATGAAATACTGCAGTTGCTAATTTTTAGATAATGCATTTGTTGCTGAGTTTTCACATAAATGAAACAATAAGTCTAGGAAGCGGTAAATGCCTGGGAACGTCTGGAAGACATTGCATCAGATATTTATGAAGTCAATTTTGTTAGCTGTCAGTTTTTTTGTAGTTCGGGTTTAGGATCCTTGGAGGTGTATAACTCCTCTTTGGCCCTCTTGGGTCCCAAGGTAGGGACTTAGATGATGTTCTCGCTCTCATGTGCTGGTCTTTCACTGGAAGAGTAAGGTGGTATTCAGGCAAAAGACTGAATAGCTCCTGTTGACCTGAATGAGTTAATCTATTAACCACTTCCATCGGAATAGAAAATGAGAAATACTTCAGGAGGATTAGACTGAGTCTGCAAGCATTCTGAAATGTTGTCTCTGGCAGGTACAGAAGGCTCCTTCCAGTTCCACTGGCTGCTAAACCTGAAAGTTGAACAGTCTCAGCTGGGGTCCTTTTAAGTGCAGAGAAATCTAGATTCAATTTTATGCTTGTGTACCTAGGTAGTATACTAAATGACTGCAGTCTATGTTTTTAGTTCGGTGGAATTAATATGAGTCCTAAGGTTAAATGGTATACATTGCCAGTGTAGTGACTACGTTAGCTGTAGTTGTAACAAAAATAAAATTGATTTGATAGTAACCCAAGCCCAAGAGATGAGTCATCAGATAATGTCCACAGAGATAAATTTTGTTTATACTTTCAGAAGATAAATGTTCACCGTTTTCTGAGTTTAAAGGTAACCGTAATAAAAGATTAAATTAAATCTAAGAAATGTATCTGGATAATCAGAATATCTTCTGAGGATTCTTGTTGATATGAATATTTGATACCCTGATCCTAGCCATGACATACCATATTATCTTTTATCTTGTTCTGTGACTGTGACCAATATAAATGCAGAATTAATAGACATAAGTATACAGATATAACTTGATACTGTTTAAATTAGATTGTTTATAGACTTCTCAAGATTTTGTACCTCCCTCTATCCTGGCATGCCATCCTTTGAATATTTGACGTGTCTCTTTTGTGAGAGAATATAAAGCATGAGAAAATGACATTCAGTATTAGAAAACTGAGTCTAAAATGCATGAAGAAATCAGATGTTGAACATTGTCATTAAGTGAGCAAAGGGCAATATTCCTACCTATATTCCTATATTCATTTCGATGAATGTGATTAAAATGTTGCCTGCTATTGCAGAAATTGTCAAAAGGGCTGTTGTCCCTGATGCTTTGACATTATACCTATGAGCAGTACGGTGTTGTAGTAGTTTCAGTGCCTGAAGTATTATCTGGAACATCTATTTTGTGTTCAAGTAAGTGCTATATTTAGATCTCCTTTTATTCTGCCTAAAGTATATGGTACACTAGACCTTAATGTAACCTCTAAGTGTACAGATGCAGCACTGAGGATGGGGGCTAAAAATAGTTATTACTCTAGAAGCAATAATTTGTTTGAAAGCTGTTGCCTGAATTCCCAAGCAGTAGTGAGAGACTGGGACATGCATTCTTTCCCTGCTGGAGAGAAACCTCCTTAGCAGATCCCTTTCTACAGTTGGCAAATTTGAAATTTGTACAAAAGCAGTAACAGAAAAAAGTCAGGAAAATTTCAGCATGCCATTACCTCCTGCAGGAGCATGAAGTACTATTTGTGAAGTCCTCTCAGCAACAGTTACTTTTCGGTGCTTTATTTTCTCCATTGGGAATAAGGTTTCAGTATTATTATCACTATTATCAGTAGGAGTAGCAGTGAAGAGGAAAAATAAAATTGTTTATTATTGGGCCAATCAAGCCCAGCTAGATGAAGGCCAAATTATTTTTTGCTTGTCTGAGTTTGATTTTTAGTCAGTCTGGATGCGTTTTTTGTTTAGCAGAGAACTTCAGTGAGGAGTATGTTGTTTTATGACTGAGGCCAATAGAAAGTCATTGGCATAATAAAACTGCAGATTTTACAATTCAGCGCAGCTGCTCTGTGACTTTTAAGCAACTGTGAAATCACATTGTTTAAACTGTGTTTGTAAGGACTGCTGTCTGGATCCATCTCTTCTCTTTCTCTCTCTTTTTTTTGGCCGGCGCCCCCCCCCCCCCCAGGAATACACCAGAAATCCCTCAGATCAATGATTGGTATTGCAACCATCCATCTTAGTAGGTTTTCATAAACCTCCATTTAGAAGTAGTCACTTAATCACCCTATGTTACTTTCACTTATGAAAATGAAAAGGATGTTACCGTCATCACTGGTATCATCAGTATCATCTATAAGCTTGCTAATACTACTTCACCTGTGAAAATCCATTTGTTTAATTACAAATATGTGTTTGGATGACATATTGATTAAGTACAATGCCCTGAACAAACTGGCATTTGGATTGCTTGTATAACTCTTTTACGACTTCTTCAATTGCAGCACTTGGTAACATGTGGATATATTTTCATATGGTGTTATACAAAGTACAGGCAACTCACTTATAAGAAATACTGTTTGCTGCTCATGGATCTAATTCTTTGCAGTGATGAGCTAGATTTTGGACATCCACTGCAGCCAGGGGTAATGCCTTACTCCCACGAATGAACACTTACGAAGGTGAGTATTAACCTAAGTGGTATCTAAGTTTTCCTGATGTCAAAAACCTTCATTAAACTTACTTTTTATTAAATTGGGCCTTAGGTTAGATTTTAGGTCTAAAACGAAAACTTCTTGTGACAAAGCTGAATCTTTTTTTCCCCACCCTTACTGGCTAATACAATAGGTGTCTGCGTGTGGCATCTTTCGATGGTGAGTCCTGGGGATTTGGACAGCCATGGTCAGCTGGACACGAGTGCAGGTGGTTTAAGTTGTGTATTTGGGATAAAAGGGGAGCTAGTGATGTGGTGAGGAGCAGCATGAAGCCAGCAGGTTTTGTGTGCTTAACAAGAGTAGTGACAAAGAGTAGCTTGCCTATAGTATCAACCTACAGGGTAGGAGCTAGTCCTTGTGGTGACTGACCCTTAAGATTGAGAAGACCAATAGGTCAAGAGTCCTGTAAAAACTGGAAATCTAGTTCAGAGGATTCTGTGTATTCTGTTTGGCTTTTGAACATTGCTGAGAGCCTCAAAAGATGAGCCCAACAGCTGCTGCCCTGAAAAATAAGTGAGATGAAGAGGAGTCTCTGGAGAGACAGGAAAAATGTGACAGAGCATTTGAATTGGAGGCAGCAAGGTTGTGATGTGTTCTGAAAAGGGCACAGACTTCAGAAAAACCTACAAAGTAGACCAAATACACCTTTATGGGTATTTTCTGGGATAAAAGAACTGAGAATACCATCAGGACGATATACACAGAGCATATGATCAGCACAGAGGGTGAAACTGGAAACTATGAGAGCTCAAATGGAAGCGATTGTATAACAATTGTTAAACTGTTTCTTATTACTTAAAAAGTAGTACAAAGGAAGAAGATTATCCTTTTATCTTTGGTAGATTAACTCTGTTTATTGTGTCTGATTCCAGGGGTCAAATCTTTTTATTTACATAAGTTCTAATCAAGAACAGCTTGCGGGTCTCAGTAGAGTTATTGTAACTCTAACTGTGGAGAGAAAAAGAAAAGTTTACCTCCAATACTTCTTTTTTTTTTTTCTTTTTTTTTCTTTTTTTTTTCTTTTTTTTTTTTCCCGCATGTTACAACCAATGGGTCATGAGACAGAAGTACAGTTCGATCTTAGGCAGGCACACCAAAAATAAATGTGTGTTTCACAACCATCTCTCAGAGATACACCTACCCTAAAGCTGCCAAATCCAAAAGGTTTTTACATGCTTACCAGCCTCTTGCATGTAGGGGTCATACGTAGCACTTGGTAGCCTAAAGCGCATGAGACAGATAGAACGGATGTACATTGCCATGTCATTATTACTTTGAAATGTAGGGTATTTCCAGAGCGTGGGTGCAAGAAAGCTTTTGGTACTCTAGAACAGTCCTTGACTTTTATTAACAAGAATTCCTCTCTGTGTAATTAATATGTTAATCAACAGCGGTTGTTCATTCCTGTACTTGGATTTGAACTATGTCTCTTGCACATTAAGGAGGAAAAAGAGAAACTTACTCTTTCCCTGTGCTCCTTCACAACAAAGGAGACATCATACAGCCTGCAGTGCATAAAATGAGGGGGTTAATGCACAAAAATGTACTGCTGAGATAAAGCCTTGACTCAAGTCTGATATATTTTTTAATATGCTTACACAAACAATAACTCAGAGGTTCAGTTTCTATTTTCTTTTTGCATTGCACAAAGGAAACCAAAGTGCTATTAGTCTTTCTCACTCGTTTCTTCGCTTTCTCAAATTAAGATAAATTGCTTATTCTTGTCCCTTAAACAGTAATACTGCTCAGATATTTAACTGGAATCTCCTTCTGACAAGTTTTAATTACAGAATGAGTCAAGCTGGCATTTACCTAGAAAGTTCACACATGCAAATACTCTAGCATCAGACTCCATCTCTGCTGCATTAAAAAAAAAAAAGAAAAACAGCAAGGTGAATTTAACAAAGGCATTAAAGATAAAACGGCATTTAGGCTGAATTTAGAACTCTAAGCACCATTGAAAACCTTCCATATAAGCATATAAGGTTGCATTGCAAGGAAGGGGGGGGGGGAAGACTGGATGCATCTGGTGCGTCGGGAGTGATTACCTGTGTCCATATGTAAGGGCAGGACAGGAGTGGAAAGACATGGGAAGGAGAAACCTGGTATATTCCCAAGCTGGTAAAAGCAAAGGACCCCACTATGCTCTCAGAAGAGAAGGTCTGTTTGAAGTGAGGGTTTTCCCAAAAGTTCCAACAGAATTGGGGAATCAGTTTACATATGTATGGTCCTAAGAACATGACTGCAGCTAACACTTAGCATGTTCCTGATTTGCAGGAGTGTATTGTTTCATAGCCCTAGAATGAACAGGTTGAACTTGATCCTGAGTATTTTCTGCTGAGGACAGAATTCACTTCTATTTGCTAATACATTCTTGTACACAGCACAAAATAATAGTTTAAAAAAAAAAAAAGATGCAATAAATCCAGCAAATCAAGGCTGCTGCTTTGCTCACAGCATAGTCATCAGGCAGCTTGAAAGGCAACTCCAGAGCTGGGATCTAGACAAAAGTGCAGAGGAGCTATGATGTACCCATCATATGTACTTGGAACGAGAGAATAAGGAGCAGAGTAATGTATGAACTTTCTGGCCATAATGAAAGACCTGTGTTTCTCTGATCTTCCTGCAGTTTCCAATGTCTTGTATGCCTAACATGATACTTGACCTGCTACTTATTTGTAAGCCTAAGAGCTTTGATACTGTGGTATTAATAACTGCAAGCAGTAATGGAGAGCTCTTGCAAAATTTCAGGGGCACTGTTAGAGTTTACCCACTTAATGCTGTCCTGGCATACAGCCCAAATGGGTTTATCCCTTCTGTTCACATCAAGCCTACTGGCTGCAAGTGTACCCCAGATAAAACACCTTCAAATTGTAGTAGGTTCTTGTGAAGGTAGCAAAATCAGTTTTTAATTTTGAATTGGTGCCATGGAATGTAAAAATTCTTACAGTATTATTGTATTATGTAACTGACTGCACAGCATACAAAAAAAACAAATGTTGAGTTCACGATGTTTGAGGAAATTATATTTTAGAGACCCAGAAAAATATGACCACAGTGGGTTAGAATGGGGCTGCACAGCCGGAACTGACTTCTAAATGATACAAGCACCTTTAGACCTAGCCGCTAAAATGAGAATGGATTCATATTTCTTATCTTCCTGCTCAGCAGAAACAGAAAGAAATTAGTAAATAAAAATTCCTGAGATTACAAGGTTATAACAAGTCAGAGCTCTAACATTTCAGGAGTGAGGATACGGCAGCATTTGCAAGGCCTGCTCTGAAAGTTATGCCTCTCATTTTACTATATTGGCCCATGATGTTGGTGGTATGACTGTAGAGGCTGAACTTTGCCACCAGTATTCCATTACATTTTGTTGGCATGAGGCAGATGGCAGTAGAGGAGCAGTCTGACAGAAAGGTGTCTGACTTGGAAGCCTGTATAAAACAAAGGTATGACACAGAATTCCTCTATGCAGAAAACATTGCATCCACTGATGTTTATCAACACCTGCTGAATGTTTATGGAGATCAAACAGTGGATGTGAGCGCAGTGAGGTGGTGGGTGTTGCGTTTCAGCAGTGGTGACAGCAACAGTGAGTCTCCTCTGGTGCAGATATTTACGAGCTCAGTATGCAGGCTCTTGTTCGTGGCTGGTGAAGATGGTGTGACTATGCTGAAGAATAGTGTTTTGTAGCTGAGAATGTAATCTATCAAACAGTGTTTTTGTGTTCTTTTATCTGTTCTAATTTCCATGGACATAAATAGGAAGCATTACTTTTGAAACGACATATACTTTGCTTTGGTTTGCTGAATATGAAATGCATGCTGTTTTTCAGAAAAGTAAAGATAAGATGGTGTTTTATTAATGGGAATTGGTCTGCTTTTGCTTCTTTCCATGTTCTCCATATGCTTTATTCTTTTTCAGAAACCTGTTGAGAAAACTGGAAGGAAGAACTTCAGGGATGTAACTACAAAATATACATTTCAGAAAACAAAGGTAAACATATACTAAAAAGGAGGGGAATTCTTGATAGCCTGCAAATTCATAATTGCAAGAATTACTATTTCGTTCACTCAAAATTGTTCTAATTCCAAGACAAAATTTCTCTTGGATTCCAGGAACTAATAAATCCATCAATCGGCAACGAAGGGATAAATACAGCCAGAACTGCCAATAGGAAATGAAAGATAATAGCAAAAGGCCTCTGCTGAAAGCAAATGTTTGTCAAATGTAAAAAGGTAAAATCAGCAGAGTCCAAAATCTCTCTTCTTTTGAGATTTGTCTATAAACAGTCACAGTATACCATTTAACAATGGATTTCTATGTTCTGATTGTTTTATGTAACAATCCCTTTAATGAAGTTGCAATGAGTCCATTTAAAAATAGCCAACAACAACAGTTTGGCTGAACTTTAATACTTGAACTAAAATTGATCTGATCTGATTTTGCAGCAGAAGTATCTTTGAGTGGGTACAGTGCAGCTCTTTCATTGATATCACATCAGCCTTTGGAGCTGATCCAGGCGTGGTGGAAGTTTACATGCAAACCTGACTCACTGAGGGTCTTCCATTCACATCTGATCTGCTTCCAGATCTGATGTCAATGGAGGCAGTATACATCCTACGCTGCTGCTCTCCAGTTTGGCCTTCCTCCAGAAAGTTAATGTTTTTCTTCAGTTGCATCCGTGCCTCTGAGGAAAAAGAGAATGACATCCGTACGTTTAAAATTAAAGCAGAGTCAACATTTTGAGTGAAAAAAACACACGTGTTTGTAGACTTACAGTCATACGGTGAAAGGGTAAATTTCTTGAAATAACAGTTTTGATCTCCAAGCTGCTGAGGCTATTGAGTTGGTTATATTCAGTTGAAAGAGATCAGCAGAAAGATGTATGTAGATTGCTATGGTTTTCCTTTGGTAGCTAAATTTTGGTCCATATTCTTTACTGTATTTTTATTTTTTTTTTAATCAAAGACGAGAATTTGGCATGAGGTCAGTAAATTCATATTCAATATATGTGAAAAAGCAGTTAACCTGGAAAGCTAGTGAAGGCAACTCGAGACAGGAGACCAGGATTCTACCATCACCCTTTTTGTTGCACTTGAACATAGCTCTAATGTGTTTTCTGAGGAGAAATTTGGATTATTGCAGTTGCATAATGGAACAAATGCAAATAAATTCCAAAGAAAATGATTCCCTTGCATGCAGAATGAAACCAGACCGCAGGAAATCGTTTATTGCAGAATCCTTCTAAGTCCAGAACAAAACTCCTCTAGTTTTGTTTAGCCCAGGAAAGAGGAAGCTGAGGGCAAGTCTCATGGTAGCTTACAGCTCCTCACAAAGGGAGCAGAGGGGCAGTGATGAGCTCTCCTCTCTGGTGACACAGAAATTTTGTAATGAGAGCAAGATGAAATGTTTGGTCCTTACCATGTATCTTTATTTATTAAATATTATTTTTGAAGCTCTTTTGGTATAATAACAAGTGAAGTGAGCTAAAATCTTGGATCTCTATGATATTAATATGATTTTGGATCAACTACTGTTGGTAGCAATACTTCACAAACAGATCTGAATGCCACCTAGTTAGATATATGTGGCCCTGGCCCTGACCTCTTGTCGACTGGCTTGTGTCATTTTACCATTTTACTAAATACAGTGGTTAGAAGTGCTTATTATTTTCCCTCAGTTAAGTGTGGGTGTGCTGACTTGTGCACCACAATGCCTGACAAAAAAGGGTTGAGAGTATGAAGAAAATGACAACCGTATCTGTATCTGCCTCTTCTTCTCTTTAGCAGAAAAGGAGAGAGCTGTGTTTCACTGAGCTGGAAAAGCATGACAAAATGGCACCTGCCACCAATGCTACAAGGCATTCCAGCCCCCTAGCCTGGCTGCAGGCATTTTCGAGTGCACTGCACTGATATTTTCATAGATTTTGAGAGCATTCATTCTCTTACGCCGCTGTGTAGAAAAGCCACACATGAGAAATCTTTTTCTTATTAAATCTAAACATAAAAAGAAAATTTCACAAATCTGTTGGTCTGGCTGTTTCCCAGTCATATGTCATCTGAATTACATTACCACAATATTCCAGACATTAAATTAAAGACAGTAGGAACAAGTATAGTTGACATCTGTGCAACATTTAAAACTAAGGAACTTCCAGTGGTTTCTTTAATCCCAGCCAAATTACGGCTTTTACCACACTCTTCCTTCTATAATGCCAATTTTTTTTTTTCCTCTCTTGCAAATGCATTCACAAGATCACAACTGTGCAGCTGCAGGGCGCCCGTTGCTGTTGCTGTGTGGGCTGGCCCTGCCCGCAGTCATACTGAGGAGAGGAGGGGATGTTGTCCTGCCTTCCCCATTTTGGAAGGTCTTAGCAGGGATCACAGGGAATGCGCAGTGCCAGGAAAAGACAAGTCCTGGTGCTCCAAGCAGAGTGGTCACCCCTTCTTTTGCTCAGTGTAGAGAAGAAATCAGTTAAGGGTCGACTGTCCTCACAAGTAGCGTGTGTGACACTGGAATGTGGCAGCCAGAGAGACTGTGAAACCTACGTCCTTGGTAGTTTTCAAGACTCAGTGCTGCCAGCGGTGAGCTGGGCCATGGTGCCAACAATCCACTTATAAGAAAGGATAGAAGAAGATCATCTCCAGGGTTTCCTTCAGCTAAAGTTTAAACACTTGCTCCTGTGTTATGAGGGAAATATGGCAATAGCCTTCACAATAGCATCGGAGCAGTGGTTGCTTAATCCTAACTGTGACTTCTGATGATCTACCTGCAATGAGGTGGAGGACTTGTTGTTTCTCTCCACTTCTTATGGTGAAAAACCTTAAAAGCATCTGGTTAACAGGCAAGTGCCTATCGAGCAGTCCATCGGTGCCCACTGTCGTCCCAGGGGCTCCTCACTGCAGCCCACCCACTGTGGCTGGCCTGCATGGGAGCGATGAGGGATGCCTTGCAACGCCCTACATCCCCTTGTTTTCCTCTGTGTTTGTTCAGCTGTGAGTATATTTGGAAATGCACTGGTGGTGGATGGGTTGTTTTGGCACAGCAGAAGGAAGACTGTGGTAGAAGCACTATGTTTTCCAGAGCAATTATCTGATTGATATCATTCTTCTTTCCTCTTAATAGAAACAATCCTCTATGGTTTTGAAATGAACTTAACCACACAGGCCAGAAAAATTATATTTTGGCTTAGTTTACTTGAACATAAATAGTATTTTCTGTGGAGTCGATCAGGCAAAGGTAAATATAATATTGTGAGATGTTACAAGAGAAACATTTCCTCTACCTTAATATTTCCATCACTAACTATTCTGGTGTGGAAAAGCCGTGATATCTACATGTTCATTTCCCAAGGGAAAGAAGAGTAAAATAACTTGATAAAGCATAGATGCTTTCTATGACAATGAAATGCTTTGCATAGAAAAATATGTGAATGCTAGCAGAAATGAACTTTTCATTTTTTGCTCTAAGTATCTGTTCAATATACTTTTTTCTTTGTTAAATTTGGAGATTGAGGCACGGAAAGGAAAGCTGGGAGTATACTTTTTTGTTTTTAAAATTTCCAGCCACATTCTGATATGTGGGCTTTAGCAGATTGCTTACAAAGACTGCATGTTGTGATGAGAGCAAGAGGGAACCTGTCTTAATTTCATTTTACAGAGCACCAATGGTGCTTTGATGTATCCCTCTGTGTTGTCCCACTGAGCTCTATGTCGTTAAGGCTATGCAATCTTTTAAGCAGTGGATATCAGAGGGCAAGTAGGATCTTCTCATGTTTCTGGGCAGATTTGTTTTCTGTGGATTTTTTACCCTGAAAGAAGAAGCTTGAGAAGTGCAATTTTCATTGGGAGCACTCCTTCTCAAGCTGCAAGGGGTAGATATTTGGGTACAGTCCCTGGGGTAGTGACACCCACACGTGGAAGTCAAGCAGACTGTGAGGAAGACCCTGGCATAGTGACTAAAGCACCACACTAGATTATTTTCCCTTAGGGCCCACGGGTTTGTGAGTGAAATAGGGAAGGGATGTTGGTACTCTGGCTACTGCCCACATTAGAGAGTGGTGTATTCCACTTCTATTTGCTAAATTATACCAGTCAACCCTCGCTCTTAGTTTGGGAAGGAAGGCATGAGACCTCCCCAGTTCTCTGAGATTCAGGTAACAAATGGAAATGAAAGAATGAATTTCCCTCTGCCACCTCTTTTATTTTTCTTTCTTCCTTGTTTTTTTTTTTTTTTTTTTTTTTTTTTTAAGTTCTGGTAGCCTGCTTATGACACTGACAGACAACTATTTAAAGCTATCCCTTATAACATCTTTTTCCTTATGTCCAGACCTAAACTTGAATATCTGCAACAAGTAAGCAAGCTTCAGTTTAGTATGTACATACTCCTAAAAGTAAGTATGTGCATGTTGTTCCCTCTGAGGGATCAGAGAGAAAGGAATGCTATTTGACATTTTATTTCTATTTTGTTGTTCTCTTTCATTTGCTTACTATTCAGTTATGATTTTTAAACAGCTACAAACAATGAGATTCAAATACGAAGTCCAACTGTTTTAACATCAGCCAGATATCTGATATCTTCCAGGAGATCTAGGGTCCAGAAATCAATGAATAAATTGCCATCATCCAGTGAATAAAACAGTCATCCAGTCATCTGAGTAAGTACAGCACAGATGTGCCCTTTCACTTCACTAACATATACTGTATGCAGAATACCTTAAACATGATGCAATTTCATGTTTCATACTATGTCCTTTTTTAAAACATCATCTTCATTTGCAAAAGGCACTGCTACAAATGTGATCGCTGTTATTGTCTGTTGCAGTTGACTAGTCATTCTAGAAACTTTTTTTCCCCAGCTGATAAAAGAGAACATTTTAATATAAATCAACTCAGTAAAAATATTTATTAAAACAACAGTCAATAATCTGCTTCTCCTACTATGCATCTTGTATTGTATTAGAGTAAGAGCACATATTATCATCTTACTATAAAGAAAACTACTGAAATAAAAAGATTTATAAAACAGTAACAGTAAACAATCTGCTCAATTAGGCTTCTTAATTACTTAGGTGTGTAATTATAGAAGTGACATAATGTTTATGTGAGCATCTGAAGAATAACAATAAGTTGCAATGTGTTTTCTAGCAAGGAAGATTTATTTAAATGAACCAGCTCTGAGTCCAGCAGGGCTACTCACATGACAACAGAAGAGTGAACAGGGAGAGGCATTCCCTAAGGCACAGTCAAAAGGGCACAGAAGCAAGGCTGTGGAATATGAGATTTGATCAGTGTCTGAAAGGTTAGTGCTCGGTCTCATTTTTCTTCTGCTCTATTTCAAGTATTTGTGCAGAAGTGGTGGGCAGCATAAACAGAGCTTAGATCGATGGTGCTCCCAGCTGTGCCAGGTGAGCAAGGAGTTGTAAAGCTGGGGAGATGCTTTCTTCCTTTTAGAGCTCATGTGTCTTGCACTGTCATTGCCTGTCTCCTACTTTTTGTATCTCGTTTGCTCATTTGGTTAAAAAAAAATACAAAACATCTAGTCTCTGTGTCTTATTTCTAGACATCTCTCCTAATCACTCAGCTTACAGAGCAAATTCATCCTCATTACATCAAATTTTGCTCCGTATAGCCCTCTTTCATCTCTAATCTTCCCATTATGACAGGAAAACATGCCCTGCAGCCATGCTTTATGATGTCAGATTGAGGGGCTTCTGGCTGGATGAGCAAAAGACTATTTAACAGGGAATTTTAAATGTGTATGTTCTGACTGCATAGTCATCACTGGTCGCAAAAAAGAAAGGAAATGCCTCTGCTTAGCTTGACCTGTAGTTTCCTTTCTGCAGCAGTATAAGATAATTTCAAGTAGAAAATACAGCTGAGGGTTGGCCTTCTGCGTCCATCTGGTACAAGTGTTCCTGATGGCAGAGCGTCAAGGCCTAGAGTGTGGGGTGCCATTTGTGACCAGCCAGAGTGCTTGTTCTGTGGCATTTCAACTGACCTGAACCTGGCCACCTGCTTTAATATTGTAGTCAAAATAATTCATTTTTATTTTTGAGTCGTATTGGTAGCCTACTCCCGGTAGGCTGCCTGAAGTGTTGTCTGTAGTGTTTTCATAGCAGAAAAATGACTTTCAAGATAATGCCCCTCAGGATGTACTGGAATTAGCACATCCTTCCCCTGCTTTGGCTGCAACTCATTCATGAATAACTGTCCTTATTGGTAGATAACACATAGGGTGGCCTAAGACCTTGAGGAAGTGCTAGCAAAGCTGGATTTTGTTGCATCACAAGTGTGCAATGCTTTGAACCACTTTTTACATGAGCGTTAAAAAAAAGTGCAAGAAGTGGCTTATGGTCAGTGATTTGGAGTGAAAGTACTGAAGACCTCGGTTCAGTACAGCTTTTATGATACTACTATATGAGCAATGAGCAACAGAAATTGCTGCTCTGAAGAATGAGATTTCTCTTCCTATGTTGCTACTTCATCCCTCTCAGATACTTCCCATGCCTTGTCCATGGTGTCCAGCTGTCTACACCTGTACTGAAGTTTCATCACATGATATGTGTTAGATTAGGAGATACATAGGGATATTTATTGTAATGTCCTGAAGAATTTCCTGGCTGTAGTAGATCCTCTTACCCCCAAGGAACCTGGAAAGTAACTCTAGTTCAGAGAATGAGGATGGGAAGATTATTGGTGTTTAATACAGATTGTGAAAATTGAGATTGTCTTCATGCTCACCCATGATAGTTAACCTTACATTGCTGCCTTTTCTCCTTAAGTAAAGTACTGTTCACAGTTTTTGTAGCATTCCATACATTTCCCTAGAATTTCCAAAGGAGTTACTTAGTGTTTGTTTTAAGTTAAGCAAGGAAGTTAACATGCTTTGAAGTTACTCAGACCTGATCACAGCTGCCAAGAATGACTGGAAATATTTTGAAGCCTGAGCAGATCAGGGTCACTGGTCTTCTTGGTGGGAACAGCCACACACTCTGCACACCAAGCTTAGGAGGGAAAGGTGACTCCAAACCTGTATCAAGCAAAACGCGACTAGCACCACCTGCAAGTACAAGTCCATGTTGTGAGGAGCAACCAGCTAAGGGTGGCCACTGTTACAATGATTTAACCAGTAAGGAATCCAGGCATTCCTATGTAGGGACAGAATTTGATGCGCATCAAAAATTAACAAGATCTAGCAAATTAACAGCTTCTTTGAAACTCAGATAAACTTCCTCTGCTACCAAAGGTATTTCAGAGCATGTATCATACATAGAGATTTTTGGTTTGGGGACTGTGCATGTCACATCCTGATTGTACTGTTGTACTCTCTTCTATAGGCAGCTTGCTGTGATGCAGTGGCTTTTTCCAAAGCAGGTTTTATTTGGATTGTTGTTCCCCAGGCTTTGACTAGTGGAGAAAAAAGCAGGCACTGGACATGAGTGATACAGAGATCTGCATGAATCAAGTTGGGGCTGTCAGTGAGGCTTCCTGCGGTGTGACTCTGCAGTTCTAGCATGGCATTTGGTGCCAGCTGTGAGCACCCATCCTGTGATGGTCAGGGAGCTCCCTGATGCCCTTGCCCTGCATGCAGACAAGTTGTGATTCCTTCTTCCCCAGTAAACTGTGGAAAAGTTAAATGGCTTTTGGGGCACTTAAGAAGACTATGGAAAAATGCTGGAGGGATGTCGGCACTTCCATGATTTAGCCTAAAAATTCCTCTCAGCAGAGCGAATGTTCAGAGTCAGAGGGGAAATCTCGCCTGTAGCTGTGTACAAGCCAACTAACTTGGTCTGAAAGGACTAAATTAACCTTAGATAAGAAGTTTTTGTGCATGGTTGGTTAGCATATTAGAGATGTCTATATGAAAGCCCAAGCAAAGTGAAGGGAAGAAGGAGGCCTGGCCAGTCATCTGCCCAGCCTGGCCTGATCTCTTCCCACCCCCTGCATCAACCCTGGACCCGGCTTCCCTGTCTTACCTGCCAGGGCTGCTGGCACTCAGCATGAAGTGCTGTCCCACGCTCTAACATTGGTTTACCGAGAGCTGTTAACTTGAGGTTTTTCCGGTTTTGTTTTTGATTTTCTTTTTCTTTTTTCTTTTTTTTTTTTTTCAGAACCACCCACCTTCACTTGCCAAACAAATAGAGGGGACCCCCTGCTACTCCCTGGCTGCATTTAAAGAGGGATTTCAAGTTGAAGGAAAGGGATACTTAGTGTGGCAAGTGGATCTCACAGACAATGGTAAGTGCAGTGCAATCACTCTGTTGTGCTTTGTTTCAAATGTCATTGTATTTCAGAAAGTGACTACTATACATTACTTTCGGTAGTCAGAAAAGCGTAATCCTTAATTGGATCTTTGTTTGACAGTTACTTATCCCATACTCAGGAATTGGCTGTCCACTTGACATGACAAAATCATTCTTCATCAAGCTGAGTATGAGCTTCATCTTGTTCAAAGCATCCTTGCATCCCTCAGGCCCCAGCTCCAGCAGGAATGGCAATTCACATGCTTAAAGCATAGTAACCCTTTTGGGCATCACCTGCCTGCAGTGAGAAGTAGAACTAGTGTGGGTTGTCTATGGCCTGGGTTATACATTCCAGATTTACTGTGCTTGCTATGTGAAGAATGAAGTTGGCACTTGACAGCTGGTGGCATTCTCAGAATGTATGGTGGCTGCTGCATCTCAGTTCTGTGCTGACGCAGGGTCAGGGGCTGCCTGGTAGTCTGAGATAAGACCATGCTTTGTCAAGAGGTTTCTAGGCTACAGAGGCTACAAAACCAAGAGCTGTCTAGAAACACATCACTGTTAGTCCTTTGGAAATCACCACACGCACAAAAAGGACAACAGTAGCATGCATATTAAGAGCAGGAGTTACATGCAAAACAACTGCTTTAAACCCTCCTTAAGACCCTAAAATAACCTTGAAGCTCCTCTGAACCCCGTCTTTCAGGATTCCTTGTGTGCACCTACAGAAAAGAGTCTGTATCTGAGTTGCTGTTCTACTACACTCCCTCCTGAGGTGCTGGAATGGTCTCTTTGCAGTCAGTTGTACAGTAAAAGTCTCAAAATCCCTTTAAGTTGAAAATTGGGTCTAGCCTGCTGTGTAATGAGCAAAGATCAGGGAATCACAAAGATGTGTATGACCATTTTTTGATTCTCTGAATTAGACTGGAGACTAAATGGATTAGACCAGGATCTCCAGCCTGCCCTCATTATTATACTAAAAATATTTTACCGTAACTTTGCAGATGGCAAGCTTGATAAAATATATGAAGTTTGAGATTTAAGCTATGCAGTTGGTGAAACTGCCATAATGTAGAGCTAAAAAAATACAAATATATTTATAGCAATTATTTTGATCTTACATATCAGGCAGCAGCATGAAAGGAATACAAATATATGTATGTATTTATGCTCCTTAACCAAAAGCTGGAGTTAATAATAACTGATGTTTGGAGTTAATTATAATTGAAGCTTGGGGTCTTCATTTGTATATGCAGGACAGTCCCCCAGAGGTGTCTGTGACCAGGTTTATAGCTAGAGACAAGAAATTTGCTCACCATTGGAAACATGCATACTCCTGTAGAGTCATTTTGGGAGGGAAAATTACTGTATTGAGGCAACATGTTCAGGTAAAGCCAAAGGTAGGATTAGGTTAGTCATGGAAGGTCTCATCTCCTGACCCCTAAATATTTGGAGGGAAAGAGCAAGTAACAGAAGTTGATGCAGTGTTGTTGCTTTCAAATATCTGTCTAGAGTCAGAGCTATCATCAGATGAACTTACTCATGGGAACTGGAATTGCACTAGCTTGGGCTTGAACTGGCTTGGAAACAGTTTTTCCATCCTGCAAAATGTAAGCTTTGTCTTCTTTGTCCTTTCTCAATCTGACATAAATTTTTCAGGAAAAAGGCAGTTCATTCCTAGTAGGTATGTAATCAGAGAATCTTCCCAGTCTCAGGGAGCCTGGGCTGAAGGGGCTGTGCTGTCATTTTCTGCATTTCTGGTGGGAGAAGCTCCTATAGGGGGGCCTTTCTTCTCTTCTTTTGGCAGAAATTCTGCTCTGGACATGAGAAAGTGTTCAGTTCACTGGAAAATATTATTGCAGAGCATTTTGATTTTGATGAAAAAGCGTTTTCTTTTCCTTCGTGAATGGAAAATATGACCCTCACTCTGTATTAGCTGTGTTTTGCATGCAGGCA